GTGATTACACGGAAACATCCTAGAGATAGCACTTGAGTGTGAAGCCAAATCTTGGTCATCAACATCTTGTTATTTCCACCATACCAGGAATCCATGGAGAATGTTCCAATCATAGATTGTTTCTAGGAACATGAAAGCCCTATGACTCATGAACCTGTAAGGGATTAGTAAGCTTTGTAGGGCTGTAGGAAGCCAAACAATAATTATATTTCCATTTCTTACCATGCAGGGATCATATTATTGGGGAGAGTAGTGGGGTAGTATGGCTTGGAACATGAGAAGTTACTTTCCATGCTGGTTGGAGGAATCTGGTTATCTATCTATCTACCTATCTATCTATCTATTCCAAAAAAGATCAGCCAACAGACGATCAAGATGGTAAGTCACAACACAGTCAGATCAGTAATATGAACATTAATTCCAAATTAATGTTATGCTTAAAGCCAATACTACATTTATTTCAAAGGATGATCAACTTAAATTCAAGAAATCTCAAATGATTGCTGACATGATGGTGGACTGGAGCATTTGGGGAGCAGCAGTCCAGAAAAGTAACTGTCCAAACTTTGGTTTAGAGATCTTTAAAATACCAGAATGATGAAATTGCTTTTCTTTTATTTGCTATGCTATTCAATCAAAAGACCAAATAAGATAAGCCCTAAGCAAACTCATGCTCATATATGGAATGAGGCACTTAGTTGAATTCGACAGAGGGTGCATCAACACTGTAGAATAAATGCAATTTGGCACCAATTTAACTGCCATGGCCTAATATTATCAAATCAGAGGAGCTGTAGTTTGGTGAGGCACCTGTCCTCTTTGACTGCATTGTTTTGAACCACAGCAGTTAAAAGTCGTGTGAAGATGATAATAATAATAATAATAATAATAATAATAATAATAATAATAATAATGGTAATAATATTTCTTGCCCACCTCTCCTCATGTCTTGAGGTGGGGCACAACATAGTGGGAAAAATGCACAGCAGATTCATAAACCAATACGACCACTTAAAAACAGGATGAGTGCAATTCTAAATGCACATGAACATGGGTACAACCGTTGCAAATATATACAAAACAAAATTCAACCTGAGTCTAATACAGGAAGTTGTCTTATCCTGGCTACCTTAAAGAGAAACTTGGCAATAGCCAAGGTCACATGGGGGAAATTGTCACCTAATAAAAACTTTACTTGGAATTGAGCAGAACTACCAGGTAGGTAGAAATACATTAAACAATTTAAAATCCATAGTTCAAAAAATGACTGAGTAAACCTGCTAGAAGAGCTAAGTTTTCAGTTGTCTCTTAAATTCCAACAGCTGATTTAACTGTCAAAACTCTTCTGGCAGGTCATGCCCACAGTCTTGGGGTGGCCAATGAAAATGTCACCATTGGGTGATGGTTGCCATTCAGGTTCTGGCTGTTTGGAGTAGCTGCTCCTCGGAGGACCTCAGTATCCGGGGCAGATTGTATGGCAGATTGTATGGCAGGAAGCAATCTTGTCGTGAATTATACAGAAGAAGGTGGGGCAGAATGTGAAAGAGAAGGTGATCCATTAACTCTCTGGAGTGATTATTGTGCATTTGCACTGCTGTAAGGGTTTTTTTGGTAAACTTTTTTGTTTTGTAAATTGCATTTTTTTCAATTATTTTTTAAAGTACAGAGTGTTTACATTTTCAATATCCATCCCATCCAACTCCAGCTCCAACAGCTAAAAAAGTGTTCTTCATCACCTTCCCTTTTTTAAAAAAAAGTAACCATTCAAGTAATTGATTGTGCTTGTCTGGGATAGGCCAATAGGACAAAGAAAAGTGAAGTCTGTCCTTTAGCCTGTCTCCAAAAAAGGAGATGGCAAACTAACCACTGTCCTAGCTCCATCCCAAGCCACTGGGGTTCTAGTTCAGCATGAACTCTACTCTTTGCAGACACAGATTTATTTCCAAGGAATCAAGACATACCTGTGGTTATCAAAATAACAAAATTCATCTTTTGAAGAAGTCCCAGCATTCTGTCTGAGTGCAGAAAACAGGACGAAGATGCAAGGAGCTCTTTCAATCTCTTCAGCGATTTCAGCACCAAGGTACACGGGAAAGCATTCTCAGCCAACAAATGCTTGTCCCTGGTTGAGCTTGGGCTGCTTCTTAACCATCTCAGAAAGGTAGTACAATATGTGAACATGCACGGTTAAGTGCATTTAATGGGTTCTGTGTACATCCTGATGCTTCCCTGAAACATTTTGTTCCAGAACATTAAAATCAGGTTCTTTAAAACAGTTGGATTAAGTAACTTTGTTCCTGCTTTATAAATCTGGAGATCAGGGTTTGAATTCCTGCTTGGCCATGGAAACCCATTGGATGACCGGTGAAGCTTACAGTAAAAGCAACCAAAATGTAATTATGAAAAAAGTATTTGAAAAAAATCCCCTTAAACAAATGGCTTCTGCCCACCTAGCAAATCAAAAACAACAATGTAAGTAGAGAAAAAGGTACCGCATTAAAGTAGGGAGGTATTTTTAAAAAGCCACCCAGAAAAATGCCGGTGATCAAAAAAGGGGGAAAAGTTTATGAACAGCTCTTTGGCAGGGAAGATGGAGCAACAGTACATACTCTGCTCTGCCACCCCTGTGGCTGGAGTACAGCTTCCACGATGCCGAAGGATGAGAAAGCCTATATATGCCTCTATCTGTCTGTCTGTCTGTCTGTCCTATCTTTGTATAATTGGCATTGAATGTTTGCCATATATGTGTTCTGGGATCCACTCTGAGTCTCCTTTGGGGTGAGAAAGGCAGAATATATATATTGTAAATTAAATGAAATTAAATCTGAGGGAGGCTATAATACTTCATTACAAATGCAGCATGCAACACAATGTGCTTTTGCCAGAATAATCACTCTTTTCCTCTTCCACTAGAGCAGCCAGTCAACATTACATGGCCATGCGTATGCTCACTTTCTATTGACCTTTTTAAAGCAGTTTCCTTTAGTTTTCTCTCTGTGTGTGTGTATGTGTGTGTAAAGTTCCTGACCATGGACATGTTTCTGCAAATGCTGGTGTTTTTCCGTGCATGATCTTTCTCATATGTTTGCAGATGGTTTGGTTTTGCTACTAAAGGAACTATTCTTGAAGACTGAATTTTATCCTTAAGTGTCCCCACACTGAGGGTAGAAAACAAGCAATCCACAGTGGGCACATGCTTGCAAAGGCTGTTATTGGAGATTGTAGTGGCCTTTTGGCATTTTGCATCTTTAAAAACTCTGTCTTTTATTCCTGGTTGAAGCAAAAAGCCTTTCATTGCCATAAAACAATGGCAAAAAATGGCAAATGGGGATCTTTAGAGGTGGAAATATACCCTTTAAACATAAAGCACACCACAAGAGAAGTGCAATTCTCCAAGTTTCCATGGAAGACCTTAAGGGCCTCTCAACCCGATATATTTGGTCTTCCCTGCCATTGTTGTTGTTGTTGTTGTTGTTGTGTGCCTTCAATTCATTTCCCACTCATGATGACCCTAAATCAAAGGATTCCCTTGGCAAGATTAGTTTAGAATGGGGTTGCCTTTGTTTTTCTCTGAAGCTGAGAAGGTATAACTTGTTGAAGGTAATTTAGGGGTGTCCATGGCTCAGTGAGGATTCCAACCCTGGTTTCCAGAGTCATAGAATCACAGAAGGATAGAGTTGGAAAACATCACAATGCTCATACAGTCCATGTCTCCACTATGCGTAGGCATAGTTCAATGCTCACACCATGCTATTCTACATGTTTAAAAAGGGATAAAAGAAAAACAAATGGTCCATGTTGGAAGAAGCAACCTTACAAGCCTCCACTACGTGTTTGTAAATGTGTATAATTGTTAACCCGTATTGTATGTACATTTTGGTTTATCAGTTTGACAGTACCTCTTTGGTGTGGGAGGGGCTTCAGACACATGACTCCATTTTTGTTATATAATCTGCTGAACACCTCATTGGAGGGCAATGTGTTTGCATCAGATCTCAGTGGAGGTGGATGCATGTTGCTGTTTGGACTTTAGTAGAGAAGTATGATGTATGGACTTTAGTGAGGACAACTATATTCTAAAGACTATGGACTATTGATAGAATGATACATAGAGAAGAAACTACATCTTATCTAACTAAACTCTAATAAGAAATGTGCCTGTATGGTGAATATATACAAGAAGTTTGTTAGTATACCTACGATGTTATTTTTAAAGAAGACTATTTTGTTTTTGTCTCTTGAGTGCATATTTTAACTAAGAGGTTCTAAGGGAGAGTAGATGGGCAACTGTATCTTCTACTTCATAGAAATAACCATCCTCTGCTAACCAAATATATTTTTGTAGCGGCATGTCTTTATCCTTGGCAGTTTAAAGACATGGTTCTTCAGTTTAACAGCTGAGTTACCTGTGTGCCATGGCAAATGGGGATCTTTAGTGGTGGAAATAAATCCTTTAAACATAGAGCACACCACAAGAGAAGTGCAATTCTCCAAGTTTCCACGGAAGACCTTAAGGGCCTCTCAACCCGATATATTTGGTCTTATGAATGCTTATGAATATCAGTTGTTCAAAGTGTTATATTCATGGAGATTCACATTTGCCAAATGGATGTGACATCATTTTTACCTTTGCAATAATGATATGGTGCACTTATTTCCAATAGGTTATGGAATTCCCAATAGTCACAAAGTCCCACATTGGTTAATCCTGTTGTTTAGTTTCAGTTAGAGTAGGTCCATTGGATCAAAGCTTGAATGGTAAATTAACACATAGATAAATCTGATTGATCCCATGGTTCTACTCTAGTCAATAGGATCTACCCCAATGTATCATGCCACCATTACATTTCTATCTCAGTCACTGGAAATATTTCAAGACATGCAGTGCAATGTTAGGGAATGAACCCACACTCTATTAAGATGAACCAAACCCATCAGAAAATCAAACCAAGGTTGATATTAAAAATAATTATTTAATAACTTTTCCAAAGGATGTTTTTTTACAGTTGAAAAGCAAAAGACATGAAAACCACACACTCTTTTAAACAAAGCTGTGGTTTCTCTAAGAAAACAAAGCTGATGTTTTCATGTGGTTTTCAATCAGTTCACACAGTCTGGCATTTCATTTCTGTCTGCCGTGAATTGGTTCAAGTGGGATGCACAGATTCGGTTGGCAAAGCCGCTGATCAACCCAAAAAGAAGCAGGCTACCAGAGGTGAATAGGTGCTGTGCCATCAGGAGGTAGCATATTTATATTGCTCAGTGCAACGTGTTCTGAGATCTTTGTTGCGTGGTCGAAATGGCTGATCTGAGTGGTCAAGGATTTTCGGCTTTCGGTGCTTATCCGTCCTCTGGCTCGCTCATCGTGGTGGTAGTGGTGGTGGCGGCTGACACCAAAGCAGCAGCAAGAAAAGGCTGCTTTGAATTCTTCTCGGAACTTCCCTGTCAAGTCAAATATAAGAGGTTACACATTGTGATTCAACAAACAATATACATAGAAAAGCATATCTAATTTTTTTTAAAGGCCATTGATATAATTTGAAGACAGTTGGGCAAGGCAAGGGGATGACCACTCAAATATATTTTCCAAGTTATTTATATGTTATTATTCCCCTTCTGGTTGAAATTGGTAAAGGTTTTCCCCTGACATTAAGTCCAGTTGTGTCTGACTCTGGGGGTTGGTGCTTGTCTCCATTTTTAAGCCAAAGAGCTGGTGTTGTCCATAGACACCTCCAAGGTCATGTAGCCGGCATGACTGCATGCAGTGCCATTACCTTCCCACTGGAGCAATACCTATTGCTTTACTCACATTTGCATGTTTTCGAACTGCTAGGCTGGCAGAAGCTGGGGCTAACAGAGGGAGCTCACACCACTCCCCAGATTCGAACTTGCAACCTTTTGGCCAGCATGTTCAGCAGCTCAGCGCTTTAACCCACTGCTCCACTGGTTGAAATGAATGTGTTATATTTACGATTCCTAGGATATGAACAGCATCCCCTGTTCATATTCCAGAACTAGGGAATGTAAATTCTTGTGCAACACTTCCCATATTCAGTGGCTTTACTGGGAAAGCAATTCTGGGGGTTGTAATTCAAGAATGTGTAGTCCAAATGACTACCAGTTAAGGTAAAGATTTTCCCCTGACATTAAGTCCAATTGTGTCCAATTCTGGGGGTTGGTGCTCATCTCCATTTCTAAGCCAAAGAGCCGGTGTTGTCTGTAGACACCTCCAAGGTCATGTGGCCAGCATGACTGCATGGAGCGCCATTACCTTCCTACCAGAGTGGCACTCACATCTGCATCTACTCACATTTGCATGTTTTCAAACTGCTAGGTTAACAGAAACTAGGGCTGACTGCAGAAACTCACACCGTTCCCTGGATTCAAACCTACGACCTTTCAGTCATCAAGTTTAGCAGCTCAGTGGTTTAACCTACTGCAGCCCCGGGGATTACCAGTTACCCATTAGAAAATCATTGGAGGAGTAGAAGTTGTATGTCTCTGCTATCTTTCACCCCATCTACACTGCCATATAATCCAGTTTCTGAATGCAGATTAATGGCATCAAACTCATATAATCCAATTCAAAGCAGTTAATCTGCATTCTGAAACTGGATTATATGGCAGTGTAGATCCAGCTTTTTCCAAATTCCCCATTAGAAAATCACTAGGACGCTATCATAAGACTGTGGGTGAATTTTGACACCAGTACTGCATGCTCATGATCATAGCCAGTCTAGATTTCTTTCAAAAAGCCCTAATTCTTGAAAGATTTTAAAGGCAAAACATAGTCAGATAGAAGCCTAGTTATAAAAATTTGGGGTCCAACTGCTATATACTGCAGTTTCAAAATTCAGATAAACTGCATTGAATTGCAGTATATGGCAGTGCATATGGGGCCCAAGTTATTGCAGACAAAAGCATACAGATCTTGGATCTGTTGGGCATGCTTGAACAACTCATATTTAAAACTTCTCTTCTGTCTGTAAAATGAGAGTAATAGTGACCTTCCCTTGTGAAATTTCATAAAATACATGACTAAATATACAGAGTTGCATCAAAGAATTTGATGAATCAGTTAATTCTTGTGCTTTCGCCAGGGAAAACATGAGATATAGATAATTGGCTTACCACTGAGAAAGTTATAAATAATTGGATTTGCAGCACTGTTTGCATACACAAGCCAGTGGGAGAAGGTAAACCAGGCATATACAGTTTCTCTGTCACTGGCATTGTTGAACATCCCAAACACTCTTCCAAAAAAGAGGAGAAAGAAGAAGAAAAAAAGAGAAATCCCATATTAGCTTTGCTTTTAATAACCACTAAAGGTTTTTCCACAGTTTTTAAAATGCAGACGATAAGAGGGAGACAATTGTCTTCTCTCACTGAAATATATAAACCTACAGGTCTCCAACTCTTTTTTTTAGCACAAACCTTATATGTGGCTGTCAACATTTCTCCTATATGCCTTGATCCAGCTAAGGATCAACATGCTCCTCAGATACTACAGGAATGGCACACACATTTTCCCTGCCTAAACCGCCATATAGAGCTAAAGGCATCACTAAGGTCCCTTCCACACAGCAGTATAAAATCCATATTAAACTGGATTATATGCTGTGTGAACTCAGATAAACCAGTTCAAAGTAGATATTGTTGATGAGCTGCCTTGAATTCTTGGTTATATGGCTGTGTGGAAGGGCCCTAACTTCTTTCAATCTCTCTCTGGGTCCTTTCACAGAGCCATATAACCCAGAACATCAAGGCAGAAAATCCCACAAGATCTTCTTTGAACTGGATTATCTGAGTCAACATTGCCATATATTTCAGTTCAATGCAGATAATGTGGGATTTTATTCAGCTGTGTGGAAGGGGCCAGTCTCTCTATCTCCCTCCCCCCCCCCTCTCTCTCTCACACACACATATAAAAAAAGAAGGGTAGCATGAAATATTCTAAGTACAAACCAATAGGAAGAGCTATAAGCTTCTGCCCTAGAGCCCTGCCTATATTTAGAAATGGGAACTTCTGAACATACAAAGAAGAAAAGTAGAAAACCTTTTAAAATGATAATAAAGTACAATCGACCTTCCATATCCATATTCCGCATTATGCATCCACAGATTCAAGCCCCTTCCACACAGCCGAATAAAACCCCACATTTTCTGCTTTGAACTGGAATATATGGACTCAGATAACCCAGTTCAAAGCAAATATTATGGGATTTTCTGCCTTGATATTCTAGGTTATATGACTGTGTGGAAGTGCCCTTAGTCCACATGTTGGATTCTGGCCCTCCAGACACTACTACTACTACTACTACTACTACTACTAATAATAATAATAATAATAATAATAGGAGCATTTCTATCCTGTCCTTCTCGCCTCCGAAGAGGGACTCAGGAAGGCTACCAACAGGCACCATTCGGTGCCGAACAATAAACAAACATAATATACACTTAACCTACATTGAAAACACTTATAAATACATTAAAATAGTTGTAGCTGTGTTCTCTGGAACCAAGTCATTGCTCAAACAATATTCATGCTTGCACATGGTGACAATTTCTTATTTAAAGTGACATATCCAGCTCACTCAAGTTCCTTCACTTATTAGACTGGGGTGCCCTCTGGTGTTTTGAGAAAGCACTCTGGCAGTCCTTTGATGACTCTTTCCTTTAACTTGGCCCTTCCTAATCCCCCCTCTTGTCTGAATAGTATAAGGTGCTAAATGTATAATGTGCAACTATGTCAGGATTTTAAAATAATTTCATAATAGGGGTGTGGGGTTTTTATTAGGACTGTAGAAAGCAGAAAGGAGAACGTGAAGCCTTACCTAGGTACAATCCCAGCAGAAATACATCAACAGAAGTGTTTCTCCTAATACTAACACCATTGCTAGGTGGGGCATGTGAGTGCACACACCTTTAGGATGAACTGAACAAAAATACCTTCCTCCTACACAATGCCAGTGGCTTCCACTTTATCTGAACCACAGATTATGTTCCTAGAAACTCCCAAGCAGATATCTTTAGTTTTACATGTAATTTGAACCTCAGGCAGGTGTTCTCTTCAGGTATGCCCAGCACATTTTTCCCCCTGCTAGAACATTTTTGCTTTGAAGGTAGGCTGTTTCATCCTGTCTATTTCCTGTCTCACTGAATTCCTCTTCTCTTTTTCCCTTTTCCTCTGATGTTTATTATGCACTGTTATTATACTTGTGTCATTGTATTTATACTTATGTATTGTTGTCTGCATGTGGCACTTGGAGTGCTTCTGTGAGCCACCTCGAGTCCCTTTGGGGAGATGGTGGCAGGGTATTATTATTATTATTATTATTATTATTATTATTATTATTAGCAGCAGCAGCAGCAGCAGCAGCAGCAACAGCTGAACATGCATAGAGGCATTGGGTCATCATCTGTGGCCCTCTGGCACACTTATAGCTACTTGAGCTGGCCTCGGAATTGCCAGATTGAAAATTGGAGAGGTTTCCTATGTTTTAATGGTTATATGGAACTGGGAATGTCAATAGGTGTGGCTTGCCATACAACCAATGTCTGCTGAAATTTCTTCTTCTACATAACCATGGAAGATATAGGAACCCTCTCCACTTTTCAATCTAGCAACTATAGCTAGTTTTGGTGTAAAGTAAACATACTAGCCAGAATGATGTTGGGGACTTATTTTTCCATAAATGGACTCATGCAAATTAAATTGCTTTTAACTGATATATGTATGTATATGGCATCTGTTGTAGGTTTTTTTGGGCTATATGGCCATGGTCTAGAGGCATTCTCTCCTGACGTTTCGCCTGCATCTATGGCAAACATCCTCAGAGGTAGTGAGGTCTGTTGGAACTAGGAAAAAGGCGTTTATATATCTGTGGAATGCTTGCCATAGATGCAGGCAAAACGTCAGGAGAGAATGCCTCCAGATCATGGCCATATAGCCCGAAAAAACCTACAACAACCCAATGATTTTGGCCATGAAAGCCTTCGACAATATATGGCATCTAATTGTTGCCGGTTTGTACACTTCCCTGAGTTGCCTTCGGGCTGAAATGGGAGGAATAAAAATGATGTAAATAAATAAATAAAACTGGAATGTTCAATTATGTCTATATTTATCCATTGGCTTCTGTTACGTTACTTTGCAGGGAAGACAGAAAATTGATCGGTGTGCATTTGAACCACTATAGAATGGGACCAATGTGCATCAGGATGGATTCACAATAGTCCCACTGTGCACTGAGATGCTGACAAGGGTTTTCCAGTGCATACTGGTAGAACCCAATGACACTGGAATACTTTTACTGGTATCCCTTTATCCATCTCTGCAATTCATTAAGAGCATTTCTTAGCTCACTACCACATAGCAAAGTATATGTAAAGTCTTGTAACATAGCCCATAATAGGTTATTTCAGCCATACTTTTGCTGTCACATCAATGGTACTAGGAGTTCATTCTCAACATCTCTAGATGAAGGGATCTCAGATTATGATTTTAAAAAAACCCTCAAAAAGTTGCTTCCTGAAACCTTGGAGAGATACAGTCGATGCACCTGGTGGACCATAGATCTTATCCCTTATAAGAGAGCTACCTTCAAATGTCCATGCCTTCCCTGTGATTTAAGTACTATCATTTCTATTGTATAATAAAGTTCCCATATCCACGAGGGATATGTTTTGTGGCACAAACATACTTATGCATACCAGAAGCCATGGAAAATAGATATTCTTTTATTTTGACTGTGCTTGGGCCAAAAGCATGCTATAGAATCACACTACAGAACCAAGGGTGTATCTACATAGTAAATTTTATGTAGTTTGATCGCATTTTAATTTCTATGGTTGAACACTATGAAATCCTGGGAGCTGTATTTTTACAAGGTCTTCTTTTCTGCTAAAGCAGGCATCCTCAAACTATGGCCCTCCAGCTATTTGGGCCTCCAACTCCCAGAAGCCCTAATGAGCTTGTACAATTGTCAGGAATTCTGGGAGTTGAAGGCCCAAACAGCTGGAGGGCCGCAGTTTGAGGATGCCTGGGCTAAAGAGTACTGCTACCCCACCAAACACCAAATCTCAGAATTCCACAACATTGAGTCCTGACAGCTAAAATGTTATCAACAGTGTAGATGCACCCCTAGAGAGGCCCCAAAATACTTCTGGGGATGGGATATTTTGTGGAACATGAGTAAGAGAGACCATGGACATTGGATCCATAGGAAAGGGGGTTGGAATACACTAGTGTCATAATTAGTCAGGTTATCTAACTGATTTATAGCTGCAAATCCCACCATAAATTCTTGGCCCTTAAATACTCTCCAAACACCACCAATTGTTTGTAGACCAGAACATCCCCTACATCAGTGTGTTTCTTCTTTGTGTATAAAGGTTACCTTTTCAATATGTTGAGAATGCTAATTGGGAGATAACAGAGAGCAAAAACCAAGAGAACGACCATGAGCATACGTGCTGTTTTCCTTCTGGTTCGAATCTGTTTGATTTCAGCTGTCACAGCACTAATCCTCAAACTTGCTGATGGCCTCAGCCCTCGGGTCTGTGCTCCTGGCTGCAGCGGCTTCCACTTTCTCTGAACCACAGATGAAGTTCCAGGAATCTAGCAAGGCACAGTAATTGGAAACTTAATTTTCAACATTTCACTCCAAGGAGAAAAAAAGTCTTACCCCTTCTGAGTAGCTGTACTTACAAACCAGATAATCACACACACAAACACACACACACTACACAAGAGTGTCAACAGTTTGACTTTATATGCAGCCAATTTTAAGTGGGTAAAATGAAAACAGCCTTGCAAAACAATTTCAATTTTAATTTAAATTTGAAGTCCTTTGAATCAGAAAGGAACCCCCCCCCCCCAACTCCACCAGTATTCAAATTTGGATATATCAGATATTTGTGCCAAATTTGGTCCAGTGAATGAAAATACATCCTGCATATTAGATATTTTCATTACTATTCATAACAGAAGCAAAATTACAGTTATGAAGTAGCAACAGAAATAATGTTGTGGTTGGGGGTCACCACAACATGTGGAACTGTATTAAGGGGTCGTGGCTTTGGAAGGCTGAGAACCACTGCCATAAGTGGATGTCTTATGCTCTAATGGTCAAAATCCTGTTGGCACACTGCAGAAGTTGTACTTTTCCCAGCTGATACAATGGCAAGAGAAGGCAGTTCTCTTTAATGTCTTGCGTTGTTCACTTTGGCAGTTACACTTGGAACACAAATGTGGGATTTTTCATGAATAGAAGAAGCAGGCGCTACAGATAATGCATTTAATTTCGGCTCTCAATTCAAAGACAAAACAAGTAAAAGGCTCAATATAGAACTGCTTCAGAAGTGTCAACACTACTTCTTTGTCTATATTCTTGGAATGTTTGCCACCCCTTCACTCGGATATAACTATTGCAGTATTGAAGAAAACAAGTTCATCTTGATAGAAAGCACTGTGCTTCAGATCTTCAGCCTGATCATAAGATGCCTAGACTAAGAGAATGTGAGAAGGTGTGAACATTTATGTAGCTTTGTGATCTTGATTAATGTTTTTGCAGGGTGTGGAGATAGGGATAGCTTTCATTTCTCTCAGAAGTCAACATTATTATTCTACTCTGTGCCATTCATGCAGATGTACCTATCACTGAAATACACAGATACTTTTGCATGCAAGAGTCAATATGACATGGGTCACATAAATAGACTTCCAAGCAAAGGAATTTACCTGTCGGCACCACAGCTTTTGAAATATCTGTAAATAGGCCAGTACCATAAGACACAGGGGAGCCATGTACGTGATCAAGAAAAAACAAGTGTGATACAGTTTGGGGTAGATTTCAGCTGCAAAGGAAACCAAAAGCTTCATTAACAATATTTATCATTCTTGTTTATTTTATATTTAAAGTAACTTGGGTACCCAGTGTTGCCTGGGTTATTAGAAGAAGTTGTTGTTTGATTTTACAAAAATGCATAAAATTGTGGGTGTAGTACAACTCGCATCATGCCAGATTAACTCCCAGAAACTCCATCAATACTTAAAGTTTGTCATGTTGGGCAAGTCTCCTCTAGATGCAGCATAGGTGGAGTTCAGTATGCTCTCCAGCTGAAGGATGAATTACGAGTCCCACCATGGTGGGTCAATCCCATAGTATGTTGAGTTGGTCATGGGGGTTCTGTTGCCAAGATAGGTCCAGGTCCATCATCGGTAGGGTGCAGAATGCTCTTTGATTACAGGTAAACTATAAATCCCGGTACCTATAGCTAACAAATGTCAAGGCCAATTCCACTCCAAACGCACCAGTACTCAAATTTTGTCATTTTAGGTTTGCATACAAAATTTGGTGCAGATCCATCATTGTTTATGTTCACAGTGCTCTCTGGATCTAGGTGAACTATACTTCCTATAAATCAAGGTGAATTTTCTCCAAAGCCCTCCAGTATTTTGGGGGTTCTGTGTCCCAAGTTAGGTCTAGGACCATCATTGGTAGGGTTCAGAGTGCTCTTTGATTGCAAGTGAACTATAAATCCCAGTGCCTACAATGGCTATCAATGATGTTGAATTTCCACACAAATCTCTCCAGTATTTTTCTTTGGTCATGGTGGTTCTCTGTGCCAAATGTAGTCCAGGTCCATTGTCAGTGGGGGTCACAGTGCTCTGACTTGATGTAGGGTGAACTACAACTTCCATCATGTGGAGTCAATCCCCCAAACTCCTCTTCTAACTAACATTGCTGATTAATTAGTTGCTGATTGTTGTGCAGACAAAGTTGGAAAGAGTAGGAAAGGGCAGTGGGTGGAATCATGCAAATTCCACACCAATGGAGAGAGTAAGAAACACTGGGGTGCCAGTAGTGGAGGAAACACATAAAATCTAGAATGAAATTGTCCCTGAATGAAAACATTCCTTGGGTAGTGGACAGTATGGTGTTTGGGGAGGACATTGGCAAGGTTGAGCTACATGTTCATGGTGCTCGCTATAACCTGAAATGTCATTGGAGGGAGGCCTTTTGGTGGCTCCTCAGCCCTGTGGGTTAAAGCTGTTAGGATAGAACTTTCCTTAATGGGACTGTCATCTCAGGGCCCTTCCACGCAGCCAAATAATCCAGAATAGCAAAGCACAATATCTACTTTGAACTGGGTTATGCGAGTCCACACTGCCATATAATCCAGTTCAATGTGGATTTTATAGAGCCGTGTGGAAGGGGCCTCCGGGAACCACAATTGCAATAGAATTGTTTACTGCAAGGGCAAATTACCACCTGCCAATGTGGCAAACTTCAAGCAGCCTAGGGCAAGCGTAATTGCAACATTTCTTATAACCTTTGGGGAGGTTTATAGTTTTTAATTTTAAATTGACCTTTTTTTAAAAAAAAAAGGAAAGAATAAAAGACATTGGAAGCAGTCCTAGCTGATGATGAATCAGGATGGACATAGGGCTGGTCTTTTCCTTTGAAGTGGAGGAAGGGCAAGCATTTAGAGTCGGGACTTCAAAGAGGAAACCTCGGGCACATATTTCACATGACAGCCACTTAAAGTACTTGGCTCTTGAAGTAAATTGAAAGATCCCACCTGTGTCCACAATTACACCTGACTGACAGGAGCAGAATGCAGCAGGGAGGTTTGACTGCTTCCATGTCAAAGGCAGCAAATCCTAGCTGAGACAAAACATCACCAAAAACAAAGGTGGGCAAGATACAGCCTGGAGACACATATGTCTTTGTGGCCTTTGACACCCCTGGAATGCCCAAACTGACCATCTAGCCAAAGAAAAGGGATTTTTTTGCTTCTCCAGCCGCAATAGTTTACTCTTAAATAGATTGCAAGAGCACCCTGTATTTTCTAACTTCTTTGAGAACCAGGAGTAGATCTGCAGCTGCTTTTGGGGATTATACACACACACACACACACACACACATACACACACATTATATATACATACACAAGTATTTCCTTGAGTCTGATACACACAAACATAAATTACACACACACACATACACACATGTATTTACACGAGTCTAATGGGCCATCAAATCTAATACACACCTCAATTTTCAAAACCCTGAAACTCAAAATAAATATATACCATATTACACGAATCTTATGTGCACCATAATTTTGGGAAGGTAATTTAGTCAAAAAAAGGTGAGCATTAAAATTGAGTAAATAAGTTCCACAGGGAGATAAAAGGGGGACCTGGACCTGCCATAGTAGCCCACCCATGACTTAGTACAGTATCAACTCTCCAAGTCTGACCAAACTTGCTAGGGTATGATGCATGAGCTCCAGAGATCAGAAATAACTAGTGATAACTCAATAGTTTTGACTATAGTTTGACTAAATCTAGACATTTTAGTATAGAACTGACCTACAAAACTAGGTTGTCTTATCCAAGGGTCAATGCAAGTACTGTTATCTTGACTCATCTAAAAACAACCATTCCCCTTTTCTGAGTAGAGTGGCAAAAACCAAGAGCTTTGTCTTTACTGAGAGAACCTTAAATAAACACCAACTTGCTCTATTATCTCTACTAAAAAGCTGCTTGTGGGCTTTTTGATATGCCAGGTGCAAAAATGATGGTGACAAATGTCAAGGTCATCTGGTCTGACACCTTTCCCCACTCCACTAAAGGGATCCTTAATCTATCCACAAGTCATATCAAAATCTATAATTTTGCCCCTTAATTCCACCTTCAATATATACAAGAGATCAATTTATATAGTATTTACAGCTAAGGCTGGATCTACACTGCCCTATATCACAGGATCTCATCCCAGGTTATCTGGTTATAATGTATAAAAATCCACACAGACAAAATTAAAAACTTCACATTATACTAAATTTCCTTTGACCAGAAGCTAGCCACTTGGAGTGCCTCTGGTGCCACTGTAAGAAGATCCTCCATTATGCATGTGGCGGGGCTCAGACCACATAGTAGTAAGTGGTCTGCGGTTTGCTCTTCTCCACATTCACATGTCGTAGACTCCACTTTGTAGCCCATTTCCTAAAATAGGTTCTGCATTTTATGGTGTCAGAGTGCAGTCTATTCAGCACCTTCCAAATCACCCAGTCTTCTGTGTGCCCAGGAGGGGGTTTCTCATTCAGTATCAGTCATTGATTGAGGTTCCGGGTTTTAACCTGCCACTTTTGAACTCTCGCTTGCTGGGGTGTTTCTATGAATATCTCTGTATATCCTGGGATAGAGGGCAGTGTAGATCCAATTCCAGTTTTGGAATGCAGATTAACTGCATTGAACTGGATTATATGAGTCATATATAGTGCCATATACTCCAGTTTAATGAAGTTAATCTGAATTCCAAAACTACATTATATGGCATTATAGAGCCAGCCTTAGAAGGGATACAAGATATGACCTTCACAAGGAAGGCAAAAGAGAGCAAAGTATACTGATCTGACTTCACAAGACACGAGGTGTCTCTACTAGGTTTGGCAGTGAAACCAAGAAGTGTTGGCTGAGTACACTGGGCCCTTGGTATCTACTAAGGTTTGGTTCCAAGACCACCCATGGTAAACTGCCTCTTGAAACACCATCAGAGCGCACCTCATTTTGCACATTCTTCCCTTCCCCCTGCAAAATATCTGGGACAATAGGAGAATCAACTTGCTACTCCAAATGGGTTCCCCACCTCACTATGCAGCTGTAGTGATTTGCATGAGTATAGGAGGCCTTGTTTTCTTCAAATAATGGCAGTCACAAGTTTAGGCCTTGAATGGCAACACAGCATTCTCCAATGAGTATTTTCTGTGATCACCATTGAATATTACTCCCACTTCTGATGGCCTCCCATAGATAATTGAGATAACAAACACATGAACTTGACCAGAGTTACTACAGATTTAAACTTGGTTGGAACAAAGAATATTACAGGATTAACTCTCAGTGAAAATGTCATGGGGACCTTTTTAAGATGCGATACTACCAAACAAAGACTATCTCTTCAGTTTCCACTTCTAACAGCCATAATACTCTAAGTTGGGACTCTGAGGCTGATCTTAATACATAGACTGCTGACAAGCTCATGTGGAATAAGACAGCCCTTAAGATATAAGATTCTAGCCTGTGTTTTCCATCTATTCTGGCAGTGGCAAATTCTAGGCATAGGATGATCTCTACTCACCTCCCCAGTGTTCATCGCAGACAGTAAATAAGATGGTCTTGTTGGCTAATGCCGGAAACATACTGCTGCACTCCATGACAATGGCCTGAGGAATCATTATTATGCACGACACAATCCAGATTATGATAATGCTATTCCTTGCCCGTTTGGCTGTGCTTTTGAACATCAAAGGGTGACAAATTGCATACCACCGATCCAATGCAATGCAGCTGAGAGTTAATACAGAAACAGAGACTGACACAGTCTAAAAAAGGGAAACAAACATGAAAGCAACATATATAATTTGTGCAAAAAAATGTTGGTTTTTGCATCACAATCCAGCCATTGTTAATTGCAGTTAAATTAGTGGAACTAAGGAAAGCAGGCAAATTAATGTGTATTTCAGAAAGGGCAGATGATAAACTCAAAAGTTAAAAAGTTACTTTTTGGATAGCAACTCCCAGACCTCCACTCCAGTCAGCATACCACAGGACATGCTGATTGAGGAATGGCGAGAGTGGTCATCTAAAAAGTAATTTTTTCAAGCTCTAGATATATGTTTGTCTGTATTGGTTTGGGTTCTAAATAGGGCACTGTGTATGTATGTGTGTGTGTGCTTTTACGTTATTGACAATTGAAGGAGGAAGCAGAGGAAAGGAAGACAGAAGAAGCAGCATAACACACAAGCTTCTGTACGTGTTCAAAAGAGACATTGCTCAGAAATTAGGTTTATTCCTTCACCTGCCTTGAGTGAAGGAGGTGCTAGATATGACTGAGAGCTAAATAACACACTCTTTTAAAATATGTGGTGTGCAATTCAAGTACGCTTTTACCTTTGAGTAAGTGAGTGCCGTCCTGACTTGAATCGGCACTATCAGCAAAGACACATATAACTTTTTGATCCAGTTGGTTTGCAGTTCAAAATACACGAAATCTCTCCCTATTTTCCCCCATCCTTCTCCTGCTAATAAAAACTAAAGGTTTCTGGGCCCCAGTGGAATTCCTCCAGTTGAGCTTTTGTTCTTTTGATATGTTATTTTACCTTTACCTTTAGTGTGTAGGAAGAAGCCCACAAAGAGTCATATTTGTTTGCAGTCAGGACCAGCCCAAGATATTTTACTACCTAGGGCTAGGAATAATGCTGTGCACACACTACATGACCAAAAGCCTTTCAATCTCCTCTCATCTTGCATAAATAAAACAAATATCAATGGGAAGGCATTGTTTTTGCCACCTGAAGGCAACAGGTTAGATTAGGGGCCACAATGCAGCCCAGTCTGGAGTTTTGAGGTCAACATTTTATTGTTTCCTGATAATTTGGAAATTGGAGTACAGGCCCTTGTGATGTGGCTCAGCCCAGATTGGCCAGCGATGGCAGGGCATACTGTTTCTGGGCCATTTGATTGTGGTAATTTACAGGAAATTAGGATAATTTAGTAAAATCCTTCCCAAAAGCTATATAACAAAGCTAGAGGGAGGAGTTTTTAAAATATGAGCAGGTAGCATTAGATGGCCAACCATTGTTGCCACCATTCCTACTGAAGATCTGTGGAAGCATCACACTTTTTTGAGACATCAGCTGGTGTCTTGGAGACTGGTAACCTCTATATGTAACATACATGTTGCTGCAACAACCACCTCACTATCTCAAACAAGTGATTCTCTTGTTTGCAAGGCATATAATGACTACAACATGACTCCCATAGCCATGGGATATGCATTTGTGGACTTTGCTTGGATGTCTGTAACCACAGGTAATAGTGAACGCTATTGAGTGAGTGGCTTCCAGCAGAAGCATATCTAAAGGACACTTCCCTAAGCTTCACAGAGTCCTCCAATATATACATATTGTACAGTGGTATGTCTTTGTCCCTGACAGTTCAAAGACATGGTTTATCAGTTTAACAGCAGAGTTACCTATGTGTCATTACATGAATGCTTGTGAACATCACTTTTTTAGAGGGTTGACTTAATGCCTTTCCTTGACTAATTGTTTTCAAAAGGTGGTCTCCAAATGTTCATGGAGATACACATTTGCCAAAAGGATATGATATCATTTTTCTTTTCAAAAAGGTTATGAATGACATTTTTTCCAAAAGAAAATGCCTGTTATATATTGGCAGATACAAGTAAATAAAACTGTGGGTCCTAGCTCCACAGATATAGGAGTCAGACTTTACTGCCATATACATAGAGTTCCCGGTTGTATGAAAGCCTTGATACATATAAAACAATACTTAAAGAGGAGACCCATTCACACATTTAGCTAAACACACAGCTATTGTTATACTCAATCTCTCGTCATTATTTATTTTGAAAACGTATAACTCAAACTAGCAGACAATACCTGCAAATAAGGGATCCCCTTGCAAAGGCTGTCACCAAGGAACCAGGTCTCTGTGATGTCCACCACTAAAGTTGCTGGAAGACAAGTGATGGTGACAAGGACATCAGCCAGGGAGAGGTTTACTATGAAGTAATTGGTAACTGTTCGCATGTGATGGTTTTTCCAAACTGCAACACAAACTGCATTTGCACAGAATAGTCAGTACAGTGAAAGAAACATTGGGAAACAGCCACTCAGAGAAAAAGAAGGCTCTTAATGCAACAGGTGTGATGAAAGAAGGCATGTGATTTTGTGCAAGACTCATCATGAAATGTGTCCCCTCTGATTTTCTTTAAGAGCCTTACTGCATTGCATTTACCAACCTGCATTTGGCTAACAAAAGCAAAAGAAATCGGGTTTCTCACAGTCTGGCTAGGATTTTACTTCTGTGCTAGATGATGATGATGATGATGATGATGATGATGATGATGATGATGATGACAATGACGATGATGACATTATATCCCACCACCGAAGGGACTCAGGGCAGCTCACAAAAGCACTCAACATATAAATACAACAAAGTACATAAGCAAAAATAAACGCAATAATAATAAATCCACATAAACAAATTACATAAACATTAATTAAATGCAGCAATGGCCGCGGATATAAAAATAAACTGTAATTAATATCAGATAGTTAAAGCTGAGCGGAGGGGGGAGAGAAAAGTTATTTCCAAAGGCTGCAGTTTGTTCATTTTGCCACAGTGTGTCAGTGAATGTTAAGTTATTTCATTTCAGCAAGTTTTTCTTTTAAAAAACCCCAAGCCATAAACTCTGGCTTCCAAAAGTAGAGTTGTTCTCATTATTGGCCTTCCCATGAAAGTATTATAGGTCAAATCCAGTTTTATTCCTCTCTGATGCAACAGCATCTCCAGGGAGGATGGATTTCCTCTTCCCTTGAAATCTACTTTTCCAAATCTACTCTGCAAAACTAGGGCTTGGAAATGTTATTTTTGGACTACAATTCTCATAAACTCTGTATATAAATGAGGAGATACAAAGCAACCTATCGTTATGTGACATACAAATCCTGTCTCCTGCACCACATGAAAAATAACCCTGTGAGGTTAATGAGAACAGAAGCCCCAAGGAGTTAAACACAAAACATCAGGAAAGAGATAAAAACACCCAATCTTTCCAAGCTGGAAGCAGAAAGAATTAAGGCAAAAAAGAGTATATATAAGGAAAAGAAAGCAGATTGTACTTATCATTGACAAACACAACCATTTGTTTGATGGCAGACATGATAACACCTGGACAGCCACCAAAAAATGGAAATGAGGCACATATAGCATTTTCCTAATTTATACTGTGGGAAATGCAGGGATATGAATTCCAGTGTAGAATTAAATGTATGTATACAACTGAGGAAAGTGTGCACATTGGTGTCTCAATGTAAAGCAACAGCATGTATCAAATTATGTTGTGAAAAAAGAGGCAAGTCTCACTCTCCAAAAATTGTTGTCCTCTCTGGGTCCTTCAGTGTGATCATTTGGTAGTTTTCCAGCCCAAGCTGGAAATGTCATTATATGGTCAGTGTCGATTCATATAATGCAGTTCAATGAAGTTAATCTGGAATTTAAATATCTGCTTCTGTGTGCATTTGCTGCCCACCCAGAGGGCCAGAATCTCACCTTTTGGGCAAGGGAGTGTCCACATTCCCACCTGTGCTGATTCACAAGGGGAACAGACAGGAGGGGGAATTCCTCCTCATGATCTCCATGCATCATTTAGAGATGCTATGGAGAAAAGGGAACCTTCTAGGCATGGTAAGGAGTCTATTTTAAAAATTTTACGGGTTTAAAAAAAAGATGTGGGAAGGGAGGTTGGCACTGCCATTCCACTTCCATGGGCTGCTTGGAGCATGCAGAGGCAGGATCACTATGGGGACCGCTCCTGGGATCATGAATGATGATCCCAGAGCAGTCAATAAGGGCCCCACACATCCAAAGATCGCACCTTGCTGCAAGATCTAGATCTTTGGAGGGTTTTTTTTTTTTACCATGAAGTCTAGGTTTCTTATTATCACAAGGCACACAGTTTCCTGAAATGTCTTGGTATATTTTTGTTCTTCCTAGCTGATTTCTCTATAGGGTTAATCAGAAAAGATGATTTGCTGATGTCTGGTTCCTCAAATATTGATTTATCAACAACTATGTTTTGTTATCTTGCACTGTTGGATAAGAGGAGGGTGTCTGGCGAAGTGTGCCTCATTTCCATTTTTTGGTGGCTGTCCAGGTGTTATCATGTCTGCCATCAAACAAATGGTTGTGTTTGTCAGTGATAAGTACAATCTGCTTTCTTTTCTATATATATACTCTTTTTTGCCTTAATTCTTTCTGCTTCCAGCATGGAAAGATTGGGTATTTTTATCTCTTTCCTGATGTTTTGTGTTTAACTCCTTGGGGCTTCTGTTCTCATTAACCTCACAGGGTTATTTTTCATGTGGTGCAGGAGACAGGATTTGTATGTCACATAACGATAGGTTGCTTTGTATCTTCTCATTTATATACAGAGTTTTTTAAATCACACCAACATGGTGCCTTGCAAGTTTTCTCAAGCTTCGGTGCAAAATACTGCTATCTATGGGCTGTTCACTTGCATCTCTTCTGTGGTTGCATGTGTGCAGTTTTTATATCCCTATCATGTTAGATTTAATTTTGAATTTCTGCCCCTTTTTAGATTTTTCTCAATGAATCAAAAACCAAAGATGACTTCTTAAAAAAAAAAACCCTGAAGCACATGGGAAAGGGAAGAACTTTGGTTTGTTAGAGAACATGCCATCACTCATGAAGCACAGTCTCATACAACTAATTAGAAGTACATCAAAAGTTTTGAATACTGAGACCTGAAACATCACGAACTGTGAAGAGAAAAGTATGCCTGAGATCCTAAATCAGGGAGACGTGCCATGAAGTCCTGTGAGTTGGGGTTGTGCCACATCTCCTCTGCCATTCCATAAACCCACCCTCCACTTAATGCAGCCTCCCTGCCCCCATAAGGCTATTTACTTGGTGGAGGAGGGTGGGGGTAAGAATGGTAGAAAACTGCCTGATTGTGTTCCAACAGATGGTTGCACAGCAATGAGCCAACTTGTGGCATCCTCTGAAGGTGCAAGCCACAGATGCAGGTGAAACACCAGGAGAAAATGCTGCTAGAACACCTCCATACAACCAGACAACACCCCAGTGATTCCATCCATGAAAGCCTTCAACAATACAATGAGCCATCTTCTTCAACCTCTTTGAGCATCCCAGAGAATGTGGTTCCATTGCACAGCCTACTGGGCCAGTACATGTCTGCACTGAGTGGGGAAGGGGCTCCAGCAGCTAGAGGGCAGTTTTGTGGAGTGCATTTAGTGATGGTACAAAGCTGATAGAGAATTCTGCAAGACTAACTCCTAAAATGACTTATACGTAAGCCACTAATAGGAAATCAATAGCATGCCTTAGAAAGATTGCAAAAATTTCTATCTGGAACTGTCTGAAATTATGGCTAAGTACACCATCCTATTTCAGGAAGCCATGTTTCTGATGCTAGAGTGTAGATGCAAGCCAAACAAAGAAAGGAAAATATCTGACATCTTGAAGCTATCCTACAGAAGGACAATGAATTCCAATATTTTCTGGAGTTGAAAAATGTATGAAGGCTTCATATGCAAATACTTGAGAATTCTGACAGGGAAGTGCTGAGGTGTATCATAACATTGTGACAGGACCGAGAAATGGTTAAACCTCAGGATTAAATACAGAAACATCTGAAAGAACAGATGGATGCAGACCAAGTGTGGATGGATTCTTGTATTTTCTTTCCCATCTAAACATGAAAAAAAATGTGTGTGTTGGGGGAGTTGTCTGTGGGGAACATGAAAAAAATTCCAGTTGATGCAAAACATGTCTGTTGGTTTTCATTTATGGCTTTGCCAAACAAAGGAAAGCATTCCCATGAGACAGTGCTTCTGTCTCCCTTTTTCCTAGCCAGCTTTTATTGCCATCCTATTGTCTGCTTCAAAATCTCTTATCATTCTTGCAGCACAACTTCAGCTGTATTTCACTTGGCACCATACAGACCTTCTGGAGCAGTTTGGCATGGAAAGTATAAATCTGATCAAAACAGCATGTGGTTTTCATCTTTTTTTCTATTGGTAGTCATCATTTCCAACATGTGTTTATATAAATGAAAAGAGCAACATGAGAACTCAAATTGCCTTGTTGTTGGTTGTGTTTTGGCACATGGCAAATCAGCAAGTAATAGCAATTAAAAGGAAATGAATGCTCATGATTCCTACCCATATCAGGTGGAAACTGTCTTGACACAATCACACACCGAATTATTTCAGTTTAACAAAACATCAATTGTTAAAGAGCAAGGTATTAGAATTAGGAGACTGAATAGATGTTAAAGGAAAAGAGTGCATACTATTGCTTTTGGTTTTTGGCACATTACCCATTAGACAGCTCACTCCATTCATTTCCTAAGTGTGTCCATTCATCACAAAAGCCAATAAGTCCCTCTAGAAATCCATCTGAAGATTCCAAGAATTACTTCTCTTTACCAAATCTGCGCTACCCATCATTGGCAACAGATTTTGGCTGTTGTGAAAGGCCAACATATTGGTAGTTGTTTGGTATATTATGGGCTGCCATGAAGGGAGAATACATTTGAGAGCTTTTCTACATCCATTGCCCAAATATGTTGACAAGGCACTAGTTGTGGAATCACAAAGTTGGAGGAGACTCCAAGGGCCACCCAGTTCAACCCTTGCCATGCAGGAATGCCCAATCAAAGCACTCCTGATATATGGAAATCCAGTCTCTGTTTAAAAACCTCCAGAGAAGAAGAGTCCAAGGCAATGTATTCCTCTGTCAAACAACTCCTACCATGAGGAAGTTCTTCCTAATATTGAGGTGGCATCTCTTTCCTATAGATTGAATCCATTGCTCCATGTATTTGTTTTTAGAGCAGCAGAAAAAAGCTCCATCTTCAACAACAATTTTCCTTCCAAATATTTAAATATGATTGCCATGTCAACTCTTAACCTTCTCTTCTCCAGCTAAACATACTTGGCTACCTAAGCTGTTCCTCAGAGGTTTTGGTTTCCAGAACTATAACAATTTCCATCAACCATCTCTGGA